AATCTATAATAGTATCTAACTAATATTAATATATCGTTTGTTTGTTTTTCTTAAAACTTTTTTTTTTATTATGCCTTCAAAGTTTTTGGTACATTTTTGCTACATGCTTTTAACAATATTTATAGATTGTATTGTTTATCCTTGTTCCAGACCAACACTTTCAATTTTTTTTTTCATTTATGTTTTTAAATACATGAAAAAAATTCAGCATTGCATTTAGATAATCATCTAAACAGACATATGAAATAATCAAACACTATTTAATAGTATTTAAATATTGCAGTGACAGAATATTTTATTGTGTATAATTCCAAATCAAACTTGCTATGGCAAATTAAAATAATATTTACATCATTTTTAATATATAAATAAATATTTAAATGTATGAATAAATCTTTTAATATCTATTTAATTGTATTTTGGATACCAAACATTGAGATTCCACTATTTTACATAAAAATTGTAAATGTCCTGAAAACGTTTGACAAAAATTAAACACCCAAATATTATTATAATTTTTTTTAATTTATTCTGAAGGATAATAATAATAGGAAATATTTCAGAGTAATTTTAACTACTGCTATACGGACTTTGAGAAACATCCAAATTTGCATTAAATTTAAGCAAAGCCTGAATTAATAGCCCACTGTTATGGGTCGACTGTTTTTGGACTGAATGACATTCAAATCTCTTTCTGACACTTCACCTCAGGAAATTAATAGAGTTTCATCACCCATGTCTGCTTCACGCAGAAAAACATCTGCATGGCTAGCCCTTTAATAGACCATCCCTCTGGAGCAGCAGCAGAATCCTGCGCCACACGGTTCACCCTGCAGTTCAGCAGTAACGAATGGGGTGTTGACCTTTCCTAACCGAGAACATCGAATAAGATGCTTGTTTCTCAGTAGTGCATGTGCTAAATCTGTACACTTGTGTGAAAAACCAATTATATTGCGTACATCGCATGAAAAGAAATCTGCTTTGAATTATTGTACATATGTGAGAATGACCTCTGATACGTTCCATCTGCTTCCAAAAAGAGTTGAATCAGTATATTCATTCACAGAGAAAAGGCTTTAAATATTATATAATTTATTACATAGTTATAAATTTTTATGATTATAGAACCCCATTTGTGTTTACCCATCAGATGTAGTTCCTAATACAGTTTTTTTTAAATGTTTTGAAAGATTTAACCGCAAAGACACTCATAAGCCTTCAGTAGGCCACAAGTGTGCTGTATCCATGGTTATTTTTCATCTGAAAAAGTGTCAAGTGGTTGATATATGTTGTGTTCTTTTGGCACACTGTTTATGTAAAGCTTTTCCTTTCTGTTGTCTTCAGCAATGAAAGACTTTAAGGTGACGGTGAGGCGTACAGAGGCTTCTGAGAGATGCAGCCTGAAAGGAACAGTGCTGTTACGGACTGATTTTGATAGCCTCCTTCTGAAGGAACCGAAGACGGGAGAGGTTCTCTACTCCTGGCCCTATCGCTTCCTCCGCAGGTTCGGACGAGACAAGGTATGGCTTTGACAGTGATCTGCAGTCATTCAGTTAAAGCTAGTGAGGTGTGTGCTCTCTGTCATTCATAATGCCCCAGTAGAGTGATGGGGATATTGAACTGTAAAAAGACGTTGTCATTTGAATGAGATGTTATTGTAATATCTAGATTCCCTTGTGAAAAAAAAAATGCCAGAAAGAATGTTGCCACTAACAGTTTAGGAATGCCCAAGGCAAAGTTATCAGTATCCGCAGCAAACAGTATCAGCATAAATAATTTTGTTAGGACTTTGCACTGATAAACTCCTACTATGAAAACATTTTACTCAATCCTGGCAGGCACTTTTATTGTGGTCAGACTGTTAAAAGATTAAATAAAAGATTTGTATCTTAAATACATTTTAGAATCCTGCAAAAATGGATCATGGCTTTCACATACTGTAAATGTTAAATATGACACCTGTTTTCAACATTGATGATATACATTTATTTCTAAAGCATCATGTGACATTTAAAACGGAAGTAATGCAGCTTTGCCATCACAGGGATAAATGTGACCCTGGACCACAAAACAAGTCATAAGTAGCATGTAGCAATAGACAACAATACATTGTGTGGGTCAAAATTATCGATTTTTCTTTTATGCCAAAATCATTAGGATATTAAGTAAAGATCATATTCCACGAAGATATTTTGTAAATTTCCTACCGTAAATATATAAAAATGTAATTTTTGATTAGTGATACGCATTGCTGAGGACTTCATTTGGACAACTTTAAAGGTGATTTTCCTCATTATTTTGATTGTTTTGCTTTTTTTTTTTAAATAGTTATATATATTGTCCTATCATAACAAATCATACATCAATGGAAAGCTTCAGATTATGTATAAATCTCAATTTCAAAAAATTGTCCCTTATGACTGGTTTTGTGGCCCAGGGTCACAAATGACATTTTAAAATATATTAAATAGAAAAAAATATATATATATATTTTTTTTTGTAATACTATTTCTCATTATTACTAGCTGGGCTTCCAAAAATGTTTGCAAAAAAAGAAAGGGGAAAAAAAAGCAAATTCGGTGTGTTTCCATTAAGTTGTTTGAGCAGTTGACGGTGGTATTGGTAACCTAGCAATTAACAGTAAATACTGCAAAAAAAAAAAAAAGGAAAGACACCATCAGTGGAAACAGACGATTAGTTGCATGGCTTTAATGTTCGCTACGTCAGAATTTATTCGGCAAATGTATTTCCATCTGTCATTATATACATTAACTCTTTATTTGCACAAGTCAAAAACCGCCTCAAGTGAGCGTAAAAACTTTTTTCAGAATTATGTACATTTCTTTATTCGAAATTAGGTGTTTCCATCACTTGTTTCTGATGCAATCCTTCAAAATGTGCAGAAAAACAGGGTGAGGCTTAGCTACCATTTTACCGTGTTTTCAATCAAATAAATTTAGCCTAGGTGAGGATCAGAGACATTTTTCAAAAACATTTACAAAATCGTACTGACCACAAACTTTCGGATGGTATTGTACATGCATTGTTTGTGGGAAAGACACCATCAGTGGAAACAGACGATTAGTTGCATGGCTTTAATGTTCGCTACGTCAGAATTTATTCGGCAAATGCATTTCCATCTGTCATTATATACATTAACTCTTTTTTTGCACAAGTCAAAAACCGCCTCAAGTGAGCGTAAAAACTTTTTTCAGAATTATGTACATTTCTTTATTCGAAATTAGGTGTTTCCATCACTTGTTTCTGATGCGATCCTTCAAAATGTGCAGAAAAACAGGGTGAGGCTTAGCTACCATTTTACCGTGTTTTCAATCAAATAAATTTAGCCTAGGTGAGGATAAGAGACATTTTTCAAAAACATTTACAAAATCATACTGACCACAAACTTTCGGATGGTATTGTACATGCATTGTTTGTGAAGATTAAATTGAAATTTAGTGTCTTGGCGTCTTTTTACTACTTACTACTAATTAAATGTATAATTTCTCAACAAACAGGCAACATTCTCCTTTGAGGCTGGGCGAAGATGCGACTCGGGGGAAGGCAACTTTGAGTTCGACACAAAGCAAGGAAACAGCATCTTCCAATCTGTAGAGGCCGCCATCAATCTACACAAAGTCAATTTACCTCAGAAGCAGATATCAAGTGGGGAGCGAGATACCATGCCCCCTTCACCTCAAATGAGAGCTGTGGCAGAGAATGCAGGTATCTACAGTGTGGTGACTGACGGAGCAATCAGAGACGGACCCAAACAACCACAGAATCCTCAGCAAACCAGACTTGAAGCCCCTGCAGAGAAACTTCTGACCGGAGTCAAGAGTCTGACCCTGGACACCAGGCCTCCACCGCGAAAGAGCCAGGTCAAGAACTTCCGCAGCTGTCCTTTGGTCAACAGTGAGGATGAGATGTATTCCCGGGCCATGGCCCCTGATCCAGATCGGGGAAGTCCAGGGGAGAAGAGAGAACCAAAAGAACGACGTGCCACATGCTCCAACCCTGAGGACTCTGACTACTCGCTGCCCTTTGACACCATTGCCAAGAATGTTATGGGAGACATTTTGTCTGCATCAAACCCTCCACCCATGTTCGTAGAACCCAGTTGTGAAAATGACAAGAAAGGCAATATAGAAAACACAGAACCACTTTATGACATTATAGATGAAACTGCAATCAGAACCCGTTACTCAAACAGAAAAACACATTCTTACAAACGAGTGGAGCACATTTATGATGAACCAGAGGGTTGTGGTGTGGCCCCAAGTGTGCCTCCATCGCTCTATGATGAACCGGAGGAGGTCAAAGGTCATGCTTGGAAGATGTTGGGTACAGTAATGGATCCGAGCGGTCATGAGTACCCATACAATGCTTCTGCCGACGACTATGCTGTTCCTAAACCTCCCAGGAGGGCCTTGCTTTCAAAGCAGAAGGACAACGAGGAAGAGGACAGTTCACCCTATGATAACATTATGGTGAAAGGAGTGCAAAAGAATAACTAAGGACTGCTTCAGAATCTAAAGAGGACAATAAAGTTAAATATAAGTGAGTGTGCGAATGAATGAATTAAATATTTAATCAATTAATATGCATAATATGGATAATAGTCATCAGAGTGCTTTACTGTTCTTCAAAAAGCTGTGATCTGCAACACGTATCATGATGTTGGTCAATATGATTAACAGTTCAATTCCTCTGGGGATGAATCACTGTAGCCTAACTTTAACCAAATGCGCTAAAATTGCACTGTAATGCGAATGTTTAAATTGTCATTATTTGAATCACAGACACACTTTTTATGTAAATGAGGCTTGTTTTAGAACATGCATCATTGTTTGTAGTGTTATTAACATTGCGCTATATTGATCATGTGAATGTTTATTCTTCAAATGATGGTAAAGTGTGAAATTATAGCTGTTTATTCAAACGAGCACAATTTTGGCTGTTTAAGTGCACCCATAATCCATAATCATCTAAATGCACAAAAATAGCCATATGCAGTGAATATTCTTTGTGCAAACACTCCTCTTTTTGTGTAAATTAGGCTAATTATATACAACAGCTTTTTCACAACATGCATTGCTATTTTCCAGCGCAATTAACATTGCATTATATTGATCAGGTGAACATTTATTTGTAAAAACTTTATTTATATAGAGCACACTTTTGGATTTTTAAAGAACGCCTGTAATCCAGTTGAACCAGTAAAAACTAAACTAAACTAAACCAATAATTAAATATGTAAAAGTAGCGATGCGCAGTGAATGTTATGTTTTAAAGTGCCTCATTTTATTGCCTCTTTTTATGTAAATTAGGCTCATTATAGACTGCACCTTCACAACTTGCATCGCTATTTGCCATTGCGATTATCGTTGCGTTATATTTATCATGAATATTTATTCATAAAGTGTTATTTATTTAGATGAGCCCACTCTTGGCAAACGTCTAGCTAAATGCGCTAAAGTAGCGATGCTAAACAGTTGTCACTTTTGTCAAAAACACAACCACCCACAAACCAGTTTATTTAATATAATAAGACCGTCTTGTGACTGTTTAAATATTTTTATGTAAATTAGGCTCATGATAGATTGCACCTTATTCACAACACGCAAAGCTATTTGTCGGAGCATTTAACATTGTGCTGTATTGACCGAGAACATATATTTATCAAAAGTTGGTAAAATGTGAAATAACTGGGCATTTATTCACACTTTTAGTTTTTTAATGAGCACCCACAATTTAGTTAAACCAGTAGCTAAATGCAGTAGCGATGCGCAGAATATTATTTATGTGATGTGCAAACATCAGCTTATCGCTGTTTGCCATTGCGATCATCGTCGCATTATATTAATCGTGAATATTTATTCATCAAATTTGATTTCTTTAGACAAGCCCACTTTTGGCTTTTTGACGATCACCTGCAATCCAATTTAACAAGTAGCTAAATGTGCTAAAATAGCAATGCGCAGTTAATTAAAAAAACGATTTGAGCGCAAGCGTGCTTATTTTACGTCATTTAGGCTCATTATAGACTACCTTTTTAACTAATTTGCCAGTGCTGTTAAGATTACATTACTTAACCAGTTTAGTTTAGCCAGTCGCTAATTGCACTAAAGTAGCAGTGTGTAGTGTATATTATTTTTTTTAATTCATCTATCCTTACTATGTAAATTAGGTTCATTATAGATAATGTTTTATTCACAAAACTTTCACATTTTAAAGAAACAATTGAGGTGTCTGAATCTGTGAAGTATAGCAGAATGTTGTAGTCCGCTGTACTCACCACAACAGTGCTTAGAACCAATCCTTAAGACCTGCATTTGCGTTCAGCCCAAATTCTGTGGACGTGTTTGCACTGTTAACTGATTTGCATAACCACAACTGGTAAAACAGCGCTATCAGCAGGCACAGTGCATTCTTAGTGAATTCCCCATTAAGTGTCCTAATAGCACACGAGCGTATCTACAATGACCTTCACTATCCACAGAGGCGAAGTTGATTTTATCCGGTTGTAAATCAAAGAGTAATTTAGCTTCGGTTGAACACGGGCCTCTAATAGCCCTTCTTCGCTGTCTTTTTCTGGTCTGTGATGAGAGCTCACACAGGTAATTAAAGTCCTGCAGATCTCTCCTAAAATGGACTGCGCCCATCACCTAATCCTCTGCTCGCTAATGACGGACAAGGGAGTTCCGTCAAGTGTCATTGTACTATTCAGGCCAGACTCTGACTTTCCATCTCACAGGCTTCCTATTTTGAGGAACACATGAATAATAATAACTTGACTTGCTGAGGGAAACTGGGGCACTGTTAGGATGCTGCTGAGCTCCCTGCCTGCCACGGTTCATGAGCCCCACACAGTCTTGAGACTTTTAAATGTCTGAAAACACTTCACAGCTCTTATCAATTCAGTTTCTTTCCTCTTTCAGAACATTCCAGAAATATGAACTGCATCACACATGATATGAATGGTTTTTGATGTATTTTACTGTACATTAACCATGTTTTAAATGCACACAGGATATTTTATTGTTGTAATTAGACTGGATATAGTTCAAAGCATACGTGAGGGCAATTTAAAGCTATCTGCTGCCATCAGACTGAAGAGAGATTTGGTGGCAATCTGCTACTGGAACATTTTAGCATAGTTTTGCAACTCATTAACGGAGTAAACTGGTACAGACTTAAGATGTCATTACAGTACACACTGATGCACTTACTCCAGCGTTGGGAGTCTGGTGTGAGATGAGCGCTGCATAAATGCTGAAAAAGTTGAAAGCTTTGCTAAGCACCGACTTTGTGGCCTAGTTCCTTGTTGTGTAAAATAGGTTGTTGAACAGCAGGGGGCACTGTTTCTCCTCAGTAGGGAGCCAAAACACTGCGTGGTTGGAGTCATGGTGTGCGTCGTTGTGAGAGAGTTGAAAGCTTCAGGGGTGTTGATTTTTTGTTAATAAAAACATATTTTCTCTCTTATTGTTGCACAGAAATCGACTTGGAGTATTCAGTGGTATGCTTGAAATTATTAACGGGCAAAAAAAATCAACTGAAATGTGCTTAGTGTTCCTTTACTGAATAAATAAGAGTGCTGCAAGCTTATTTTAGGTGGAGATCATGAACCTCATGCCAAGTTGTTTCATGCCCACGATTTCTTTGAACCAGACTTGACATTAAGGCAACGCGAGTCTAATGTGGAAAGTCTGAAAATAGACATTCGTTTTTTTCAGATGTAAAGATGTAAAGTGATACAACACTGGCACCCTATGACACTGTCTACAATAAGATCTATAATACCTGGATATTAATGGTAAAAACTTAACTAAAATGTAACTGAAATGTGCTTAGTATTCCCTTACTGAATACATATAATAATAATAATAAATAGATAACATTACTTTTAATTATATATATATAACAATAATAAAAATTATATGTTAGACATATCGAATCATAAAGATAAAAAAATCTATTGTTCTTGTGTTTTTATAACCCACTGGTGTGTCATGGGGGAAATCAAATAGTAATAAATAAATTAACCATATAACATGTTTAGTGCATGTGTTGTTGAAGAGTGAGAAGCGTGCCTTACAACGCTGATAACCCCACTTTAAAGCAATTGTGTCTGATCAATAAATACATGAGGTTGTGCAGCGTTCAGTGTCTTCCAGTGGTTAATTGGCTCCAGTGGATCCAATTTACCAGTGGCACTTTCTAATGATAAGCAACTACCTAATAGAACGGGCCAAACTTAACAGTCGTTTCATATCCAGGAGCAACGCCTTTTAAATTCCAATTAATCACCATCGATTACACTAATGACAGTATAAAGATTCCTATGCACACGGTGGGGTTGTCATGACCCTATGCGCTTTTATTTAAACTAGAGGTTTTTTTTTCTTTTTTCATGAGTGAGATGACTGAAGAATCCATTGTTTTTGACTCCACTGCACGTTCATATCAACGTGTCTGTTGCTCTATATAGAGTCTATTTCAATCTGACTCTCGCATCGGCTGGTGCAGTGACATCAGAAAATGGAAAGAATTTCTTTTCCAACACCCTGGAATGGAGCAATGCTGTTCTGACAGCTTAATGTATGTCATTTAAAGGCATTTCACCAAATCACTTCTACCCTCCGTACTGCGTGTCATGCAGGATGACAGCAAAGTAGGGGTCACTGTCATTTTAAAGATGTATCAGGATGCATTTGCATACATATTTAAAATAAAGTGTTAGAAACGCCCTGTGATATAATGCTGGCTTTGAATATATTTTTTAATCTCTTCAAATGAACATGATCTAGTTCTTGCAGTACTTGACTCGCAGTCAAGACGTGAATAACATATCGAAACTGGACGGCAGCCAACGGTAGATTATCTTGCTCTGTGCAATCTTTGAGGTTATATATGGTGATTAGAGTTATAACAGCCTACATCTGAGGTAACTTTTTACCTCTTGATTAGCGCAGCTGGAATGGTGTTATACTGTTAAAAAAATCACGTGTTCTCGTGTGTTTATAGAGTCTAATGTGAGGTCACAGAAAGGGAGCGCTCTGTCCTTATGGAATTGGTGCTGCCAACCCAATCAGCTTTATTTAAATGAAATCTAAGGCCAAATAAACATTCTGAACAAGACTACACTTGCTAGACCTGCCCATATGATTAACAGCTGTGCAGAGGTGAATAGCAGCAAATAAACACAAAGTGCGGACCTACTGTGTGTGTGTGTAGGCCTACCGACAAAATGAATGCATGTTCTAGCTCATGCACACATCAGTATTAAAAGTGGTAACACTTATGTAACACCTGAACAGAATACAGCAAATTGCCACCCAGATTTCAAACACTGGTGAATCAAATGTTTTTGGCTGCTAGTAATATTTGTCTACTACTTTGGTCTGTCTTTTCGTATCAGTGCAAGTTGTTATAGCTGATTAGTGCCAACTTGTGACCCAAAAAGTTGGTACAACTACACGGTTTCTGAGGGTCTTAAAAAGGCTTAAATTTGCCTTCATAAAACCAGAAGAAACCCTAAACTAGCTGACTGACACAAAGATATTAATTTAACCACAGTATACATTTTAATAAAGCATAACACCTTTAATAGTTGGACAGAAGCTCAGGAGTCTCCAGTTATAGCAAGAAAATGAAAACATACCTCGTAAGGACCAGTACGAGAAATGAAAGAACTGGATGACAGAGACCTTAAAATAGAGTAAGAGCTTGGAATGCAGATTAGCTAACAGCAATTTATGAATTAATATTGTTCCATTTGTCTCGTTGCTTGCTGGGCTCATAGTTTTAAATGTAGCAACAGACAATTTTTTCTTAAGTTTATTTTTTGAAACATTAAGACAATTAACAAGTAAGATCAAATCAATTTCTCATGTCCATGTATTTATTTATTTGGTAAGTCGCTGTCTAATAGGCAGGCTAATTTTCAGTCAGACAGTCAGTCATTATCACTAAATAAACCAAGACCTGCTTCACAATGAGGACCTCGTCTCCCTGTCTAGGTTTATTTGGCAGTATAACCAGCTGTAAATCATCCCTTATATATCTAATGCATTACAACATAAGCTATAAAAATAAAAGATTGATAATTGATGCGCTGATCCTTTGGAAAGACCTTCAATGACATTCTACAGAAAGCATGTTTTAATGACTACAATTTGTTCATCTCAACATG